CAGCCATGCTGGCTGGGGAATTCTGGGAGTTGAAGTCCACTCATCTTAAAGTGGCCAAGTTTGGACAACACTGCTATAAGTGGCATAAAACTTCCACCATAAATAAAAATGTATCTTTTTAACTTCTATCCTCACTCTTGTTGTCTGACACCTAATCATACTATAAACCCAAGAAATACGACACAATATTTGTTGGAAATAAGTAGCAATTGCTTGTAAGAAAAAAAAAATACTGGTCCAGCAAGGCCTTAGAAATGCAGGGCTGTATAAATTCTACATGCATCCATCTCCAAAGCAGGGAAAAGCCACTTCATCGAGCTGAATTAACTAGATGTAATTTTAACTGTGCTGGCAACTGATTTGCTCCAAGATAGTAGGTGTGAACTTTCTGCAATATAATTCACACACCCTATCTTGCAGTTAATCAATTGGCACCAGCCCAGGTAAGATAGATATAGCCTTTTACTCTGTTGAGGGCTTATTTATGGCAGATCATGGGAAATAGAAAACATTCCTTTTCCTAGGCAGTTCACAAATTATTTCAGTAGGAAAGTGACTAAAATAGATTCAAATGTTCAGTGACAACAGGATTCCTTGAATTGTAGATACATGGTAAATCCCCCTTTTTAAAAACAATAGAGGTACAGCCAAAACCGAGTAATCTAATTAAAAGTTTTCACATGGGGAGTCCAGTCTGCATTCTCTGACTTATTTGTGTTTGTAATTCAAATGACTTCTTGGTCTACAGTGCTGGCTTACAGTTTTGCTTTCAAGTGTAAATTAGTCTCATATCAATCAGAGTTCAGTTTGGAATATTAGTACTATGAATGTAGTTTTTGTCAACTTTGTATGCCATTAACAGTTAACTACTGTATTAGAGAGAAGATGGTACTAATGGTAGCACTGTGCACCTTTGAGATAAATATGAAATGAACTTGGCTGTTAAAGTTTGTGGAAATGTAGTCCACAGAAACATTTGCTGGTATTCTAAATAAATAATATGTATAACTTTATTATGCATCTCCTATACAGTGATACCTCGGGTTACAAACGCCTCTGTTAACGAACTTTTCGGGTTACGACCAGCTCCGGCCGCAAAAATTTACCTCAGATTGTGACATCCGCCTCGGGGTACGAACGCGGTCCGCGGCCTTTTCCCCTCACGTGACGCGGTCCGCGGCCAATTTTCTGCCCCTGACACGTGGTCTGTGGCCATTTTTCTGCCCCTGACACGTGGTCATAGGGAGGGGGACTCTCCCTCCAAACAATAGCCGCCTCCCTGT